AAAAAAAAAAATAAGCAAAAAAACAAAAACCGTTTTTTTTGGTCAAATTTCACGTTGCAAATAGTGAAGACTTTAAAATCGAGCAGTATCTGTTTGCATTTAAATAAATATGTTTGTTTTAATTTATTTCAATACAATACAATTAGTAGTATACTAAATGTTTTTTTTTATTTATGAGTATAATTTGACTGTAAATTACAAGAAATTCGTAATAGTTAGAAAAATGACAAATAGCGCATTGTAAAGCTTAATTATTTGCCTTTAATTGAAGTGCTCGTTGATGGTTGTGTCTTTTATGGTAATCGAGTAAAACTAGAATTAAGTTAAGGAAAAATTGAAAAAAAAAAATATGGGTGAGTAAAATTTTATTAATATTTTTGTGTATTTACTATTGTTTTTGTAGCAACTAATATTAGAACTATAGGTCACAAGCATATGCTGGTGAAGTGCGTGTACAACTCGTCGACGTACTTTCAAATCATCGAGCCGTGCCAAATCTTCGACTCGCTGAAACCAGGCGAACAATACTACACTTATTACAACAGCAGACGCGTTTCTTGCAACATAATTACGTCGTCGAGTAAGTAAAACTATAAGAAAAGATGTTTTGATGTTGTTGTTGTTGTGATAATGTTTTAGATGATTTGGATGAACTCAAAGATGAGATGTCTAACATTAGAGTGCAGAACGCGCTCAAAACGCAGAACCCCAACATCAGCGTTGCATCGACATCATCAGCGTCGACGTCGTACATTCAGATGGGCTTGAGCACGAAACTGGATGAAAACCAGATGTTCGTTTTCGGACCGAACGGATCGACGATTTCCACTGCGAAGATGACTCGCATAGACTGGGATAATTACAGGGTGGCGGCTCGCGATCTGCTCCTCGCGGTCTTCTCACCGGAGGTACTGGCGACGCACACCTTGCTGGGAAGGAACTCCTCGAGGCAAAGATTGGACCCGATAGTAGTCGAAGACGTGATCTACATTTTGTGCTATAAATGTAACGTGAGCAGAGAGGAGGTGTTCGATACAATTAAAAGGCGATGCTTTCAAGAGTACACGAAGAATCAACTTCAGTTGGGACGAGTGAACGACGAAAACACGTAAAATTGATAAGAAACCGATTGATTTAAATTTTTATGAATATTTTAATAAAAAGGAAAGCATATTTTAATTGATTATCGTGTTGTGTTCACTTGATTTTTGCAAGCTTAGAAAAACGTAAATTACAGCAAATCGGTAATAGTTACAGATATGATAGATAACACGTTGGAAAGTACAAAAACATATCTTTAATTAGAGTGGTCACTCATAATTGTAACGTCTTTAGTTACGAAGAAACACGATGTTTTGTAAAAAGCTTCAAAAACTTTTTGTTTTTTAACTTTGAACGTAAAACGACAATAGTTACAAATATAGCAAATTGCACGTTGAATAGCTTAAATATTTACCTTTAATTATAATGCTCAATCATACTTGTGTCTTATATGGTAATAGAGAAAATTGATGATTTGTAGCAAAAGATTTCGATTTCATAAATATTACGTGAATAATTACGAAAAGATTCAGAATGAAGCAAAAAACGATTGAAAATTTCATGAAATCATCATGATTTACAATACTTGTGATTTTGCACATGGTTTATCAAAAAAAATGACAAGAAAAATGTATTTTTTTTCTTTATGCAAATTTAGTGCTATTAAATAGTAAATAGTACAAAATCAAACAGTGTTTCGATATTAGAAATGAATTATACATATTAAACGTTTTATAATTTGTAATTTTTTATTTTTAATAAGTGGATCAACGATATTTTGCAAGGTAAACTTTATATCTTTGTCAAAATGTTGATTTTTTTATTTATTGAATTTCAGATAAAAAAAAGTCATAAAATGTGATTATTTTTCAATAATTAATTGATTAATTAAGAAAATTCGATTCATAATTTCAATATTTCTTAAAAATTACAGAAGAAAAACTTTAGTAATAATTTCACTATAAAATTCACAAAGTTTTATAAATTCTTTACTACAAGCAATTAAATATCAGAAAATTTATTGATTTACAAAGAAATTTCAATTTTTACATGACAAAAGTTACAGCAAATATTCACAAAGTTTCAGTACTTTTTTAACAATATCTGAAACTGTAGTGAATAATTTAGAAAATTCTGTTAATAATTCTAATATTTCTTAAATTTCAACAAAAATTCACAAATTTTTATAAATTCTTTACTACGAGCAATTAAATATTAGCAAATTTGTTGATTTACAAAGAAATTGCAATTTTTACATGACTTTCAGCAAAAATTCACAAAGTTCAGTACTTTTTTAACAATATCTAAAACTGTAGTAAATAATTAAGAAAATTCTGTTAATAATTCTAATATTTCTTAAATTTCAACAAAATTCACAAAGTTTTATAAATTCTTTACTACGAGCAATTAAATATTAGAAAATTTGTTGATTTACAAAGAAATTGCAATTATTACTTGACTTTCAAAAAAAAAATCACAAACTTTCATATTTTATTACCGCAAATATAAATAAAGTTATAAAATAGAACTTTTTTTGCTAACAAAGAAAGTCATTTAAAATATTGTTACAGGTAGTTTGTGCACCCTTTTCTTGAATACTTTAGAATCCCAAGTTAAGTGCAATAAGTCTTGTTAAAGTTGTAAAACATGCAACTAATAACAGTAATAAAAGGACAAGAGTAATAATTTCTAATAATAATAATCTTTATTAGTCACAATTGTAACCAAAAGGCTATCGACCTAAGTCTTTCTGCCTAAAATGTCTAATTTTCTTAAATTTCAGCATAAATTCGCAAAGTTTCATTACTTTTTTAATTATATCTGAAATTTTATTGATTAATAATGAAAATTCTATTAATAACTCTAATATTTCTTAAATAAATAATAGTTTAATTACGTTTTTTTAACAATATCTGAAACTGTAGTAAATAATTTAAAAAAATCTGTTAATTATTTCAATATTTCTTAAATTTCAACAAAAATGCACAAATTTTTGTTACTTTTTTAACAATATCTGAAACTTTATTGATTAATAAAGATAATTCTCATAATAAGTCTAAATATTTCTAAAATTTCAACAAAGTTTCAGTACTTTTTTTAACAATATCTGTAACTTTCCTGAATAATTAAGAAAACTCTGTTAAAATTTCAACAAAAATTAGCTAAGTTTTATTACTATTTGAGCTATCTCTGAAATTGTAGTAAATAATTAAGAAAATTTGGTCGATAATTTCAATATTTCTTAAATTTCAACAAAAATTCTCAAAGTTTCATTACTTTTTTAACAATATCTAAAACTGTTGTAAATAATTATGAAAATTTTCATTACTTTTATAACGATATCTGTAACTTTAGTGAATAATTAAGAAAACTCTATTAATAATTTCTATATTTTTTAAATTTCAACAAAAAATCGCTAAGTTTCAGTACTTTTTTTAACAAAATCTGTTACTTTAGTGAATAATTAAGAAAATTATGTTAATAATTTCAATATTTCTTAAATTTTAACAAAAATTCACAAAGTTTCAGTACTTTTTTAACAATATCTGAAATTGTAGTAAATAATTAAGAAAAATCTGTTGATAATTTCAATATTTCTTAAATTTCAGCATAAATTCGTAAATTACAGCAAATCGGTAATAGTTACAGATATGATAGATAACACGTTGGAAAGTACAAAAACATATCTTTAATTAGAGTGGTCACTTATAATTGTATCGTCTTTAGTTACGAAGAAACACGATGTTTTGTAAAAAGCATCAAAAACTTTTTGTCTTTTAACTTTGAACGTAAAACGACAATAGTTACAAATATAGCAAATTGCACGTTGAATAGCTTAAATATTTACCTTTAATTAGAATGCTCACTAATGCTTGTATCTAGTATGGTAATAGAGAAAATTGATGATTTATAAAGACTAAAGATTTTCGAAGATTTCGTTTTCAACGTGAATAATTACGAAAAAAATCAGAATGAAGCAAAATAAACAGAAGAAAAAAACGATTAAAATTGTAATGAAATCATCATGATTTTTAATTTACAATATTTGTGATTTTGCACATGGTTTATCACAAAAAAAAATAACAAGAAAAAAGTCAATTTTTTTTTTCTTTATGCAAATTTCGTACTGTTAAATTGTAAAGAGTGCAAAATCAAACAGTGTCTTTTGATATTAGAAATGAATTATACATATTAAATGTTTTGTAATTTGTAATTGTTTATTTTTAATAAGTGGATCAACGATATTTTGCAAGGTAAACTTTATATCTTTGTCAAAATGTTGATTATTATATTTATTGAATTTCAGCTAAAAAGGTCATAAAATGTGATTATTTTTCAATGATTAATTGATTAATTAAGAAAATTCTATTCATAATTTCAATATTTCTTAAAAATTTCAGAAGAAAAACTTTAGTAATAATTTCACTAAAAAAATCACAAAGTTTTATAAATTCCTTACTACGAGCAATTAAATATTAAAAATTTGTTGATTTACAAATAAATTGCAATTTTTACATGACTTTCAGCAAAAATTCACAAAGTTACAGTACTTTTTTAACAATATCTAAAACTGTAGTAAATAATTAAGAAAATTCTGTTAATAATTCTAATATTTCTTAAATTTCAACAAAAATTCACAAAGTTTTATAAATTCTTTACTACGAAATTAAATATTAGAAAATTTGTTGATTTACAAAGAAATTGCAATTTTTACATGACTTTCAGCAAAAATTCACAAAGTTACAGTACTTTTTTA